TTATAATAATTATGTCTATTATATATCCAACATGCACATCATTATATGCTTTTAGTCAATGGATGCGTATCATTTCCTAATCTTGACAAACCAATCAACCTTAAACATCATTTTTTATATAAAGGGCGTCTGGATAGAGGTTAACTGAGATAATAGGGTACTCTTTGCTTATTTTATAAGATTAGTGTGTTTGATTTATAAGTAATAAAATATTATGGTAATCTTTTTATTGTAAATAGTATTTATTGTTGATAATATGGGGGGTAATTTTGTTATCTTGCTAGGGGGTGTTATTAAAATATTACTGAGATAATCTGACTTTTCTACCTATTTTGTCCTTAATTAAAAACCATTTCGGACATAATTGCCCTCAAATATCTACCAAATAATAATTACCTAACCCCCCTATATTTGAGAAATTAGCTAAAACACCCCAGTCACAAAAAGTTTAAAAGTTAATAAAATACCCTTAGCAACCCAAGACCATCGTCGACTGTGACTCACCACCGTCGTTCATCGGTGTCAGTCGCTGTAATAGTGCGTGACCAGCGGGATCTGACCGGTCATGCAGCGGTAAGACATTTTCTAGCCATGGATCATAGATCTATGGCTGGAAACAGCTAGATCTGGTGTTTCTACAGCCGTTTCACGGCCAATGATGTGGCCGTGAAATGGCCATAGATCTGGTCGCTTTTCGGACATGGATTTGTGATCCATGGCCAGTTTCGGTTTTGCCGGCCATATACAACTAGTCGTACGCTATTTTGTCGACTGTCGACGATAGCCAACTGTGGTTGTTCATTGTCGGTAGTGGCTTGGGGTGGATGGGGGTGATTTTGCTGTAAATTAAAGTTTTATATGACTATGGTGTTTTAGCAAAATTTCAAATATAGGAGGTTAAAAGAAGTGATTCAAAAAATAATAATAAAAAATACTATTATATTAATATTTAAAAAGAAGGGCAATTTAGTAATCTATATAACATACCCACTCATTTATTCTCTCAACAAAACATATAATTCACCAATTTATTCGAACCAACCAAACATATTTTATAAACATTCCAAGTAATCTTCAAGGTGATCTTTCTTTTCATTAATATAATATACCCCTATAATAAAATATTATATGATCTAAAAAGCCCTTAAAACGTTAATTACTTTCCACCTTTGAGGTTTGGTGTCAAATGTTCTTCCCTCCACTTTTGAGAAACTAACGTTGACACCCTCAAGTATATGTTATGTACTTATGTTAAATGAAACGGTACAAAGGATAGAAAAAAAACCATTTTAAATAAATGATTGGAGGTTTTGATTAAACTGACTAACCAATTTTTTATTCAATTCAAGAATTGTAATAATAAAAACCTGACTGGTAGTGGTTGCTTGTTTACATAATTGTAACTAGTAAAGAAATTGGTGTGCGGGGAATCTTAAGAGGATCAAATCCGCTTTCGCATGCAGATATCTCGCAATATGAATCCCACAGTCAAGGCCAATGATCACGCAACTTCTCATTTATCTGAATTTGAGTTTATCTCTCATTCAATCATGTAACTAACAATATGTAAACCTGATTGTAACCTATTTTTAGGGAAGAAAAACTGGCCGCAAAAAAACATATTTTTTGTAACTTGAATTATTGTTTCGATGTATTCAATAACATAAAAGTTGATGTAGCCCTTGCATTAGGGGCAATAAAACTATTTAAAAATATTCTCTTTTTGTTCTTTGTGTTTTAGATTAGTCCCAACATATAATATTGTTTCTTTTTGTTCTAGATTAATCCTTGCATATCCATCTTAATATTTTTTCATTGTTGATCCATTGGGATCACTCACACATTCTACATGATTCTAACGTTGTCAATCACATATTTCTGTTTGGTGTAAATCTCTGCATCATCAGAAATGGTCATGATCTTTAGCTCTTACCTATTTTATTAGTTGATCTCATCATCAATTTAAAGGAGGATAAAAGTTTAACTTTATATTTATTTCTTTCTTATTCAATAAAAACTTTTACTTTTTTAAAATAAAAATTTGTGAATTTTTATCCATTTAATTTTTTAGAATAAGCATATTTCTTCCAATAAATAATCAAGATTTCTTTTCATTCTGTTCTTGTTTCATTCATCCAGGGCCATAATGTAGATGATCAGACTATGACATTTGGTAGTAAAAGCTAAGTAACAAACTAATAAACCTCGAGGGATTGGTCTACCGATCAAGGAGGTTTGTTCCATTTATTGAGTTATTGAATTCAAACCTTTTGGCTTGTAGGGTGTTCAATGGACCTTGAAGATTAGTTGAGACACGCGCAAACTGCCTCGAACACTAATCTTAAGAACAAAGAGCTCTATCCACCCCTAACGCACCCCAAACCACAACCGCTTGTAAAAGAATTTGTTCAAGTTTGAATATCAAGATTTGTGAATCAATCATGAGACAGAAATTTTAGTAAAATTATTATTGTTTGTGTAATTGAAAGTTTGCTTAATTGTTGTTTTAAAATAAAAACGCTCTCATTTTTATTACTATTTTGTCCTTTATTAAAATAACAGACCGGTGCTACTAGTAAAAATGGTGGGCTTAAAGGAACATTTTATCACCGCTCTAAAAGGAAAATCACTTACCATTATGGTGAAGGCTGGCCCAAGATTAGGAATGCTTGAGCCCATTAACAACTAACCCGTAGTTTCGGCATTACACTTCCCACCACGACAAACAAAACTGAAGCGCTTTCTGCCTGTTCTCTGTGGGTCAAAAAAATGGATCATCCACTCACGTCTCGCCGGCCCCGCAAAGCTCCGACAAAACCGGATCTCTACTCCACCGTCGTAATCCATGACGACGATGACGACGACGAATACAACTCAACAAATTTTCCTCAAAACGACGCGGCTATGGAAGACGACGAATCACTCCCTCCTCTTCTCAAACGCCTCCCTAAAGACTTCGGCGCCACTCCACTTGATGACGAAGACGACGACGAAGGAGATTTCGGTACAATGATCGTCAAGACCAAGACGAAAACCAAAACCAAAACCAGTCGCACCATAGTAAATAAACCGTTTCGGGATTTCAAAAAACCGGATGGCGACGATGAGTACGGTACGTTTGTAGTTAGATCGAGCGATAAAAATTCATCGGATACCGTGAGGAGGAGTGGAAGATATGATGATTCGACGATGGGGAGAGCCGTTGCGAGTATGCGAAGGTTTGGGAGTAGCTCTTCGTTGCACGGGGAAGAGGCCAGACAGCAGAGTAAGGTTTCGTCGAGTTCGATTCCGGACAGTGTTACTAGAGAAGATCCTTCCACTAAGTATGAATTGCTCAACGAGCTTGGTGCGTTTCGTTTTCTGTTATACAGTTTATGTTCACATTGTATATTGGTGGGCTCGGTGCCCGTAATTTTGATTTTTGTCAATGTATATTCCGTTAGAATTTTAAGTTAATTAAATTCTGGAGTGTTCAGTCGGCTATTTTGATGCAAAATGAGTGATGGTTCAAGCTTATTAAGTTTTTCAATGGAGTGTAATTCTGCTTGTTAAGTTCACACTGGGTCGATTTTAAGGCTCTTAGGTTTTAATTTTTTATTCTCTCCATGTGCTTAGTTAATTTTGCAGTATTTTTTTTTTTTTTTTTTTTTTATAATTATTTGATTCTCTCTTTGTTTTCTTTTTGGTCCCCTTGGGAGGCAGGGAAGGGGTCTTATGGGGCTGTATACAAGGCTAGAGATATCAAAACATCAGAGCTTGTTGCCATCAAAGTTATATCATTAAGTGAAGGAGTATGCATTCTTTATTGGTTTGCATGAAATTGATTTTTATGATTAGCTAAGTTGTGCCAGTTACTGGGGATAAGTTGTGATGTTGTTTATATACAGGAGGAGGGTTACGAAGAAATTCGTGGGGAAATTGAGATGTTACAGCAGTGTAGTCATCCTAATGTCGTGCGCTACCTTGGGAGTTACCAAGGCGAAGAGTATCTTTGGGTAGGAGCAAAAGCATTTGCTTACTGCTTTCTAAGCTCATTGAATCATAATGGAATTTTACGTTTTATTCTTTTCAAAGTATCACTTAATTGATAGATATTTTATCCTTGAGTGTTCTGAGTTTGGAATAAATGTTTTTACTATTTTGGCAGATAGTGATGGAGTACTGTGGGGGTGGAAGTGTTGCTGACTTGATGAATGTTGCTGAGGAGCCGTTGGAGGAGTATCAGATAGCATATATTTGTAGGGAAGCTTTAAAGGTATCCATAACATGGTTAGTTTGAAAATGAAGGTTTTTCCAAATGAAGCAATGTTGTATCACACATCTATCCAAAATCTTCTTCAAGCACATTGAAAGGAAATTTTCATATGACTTCCTTTTTCCACATTACATGGAGTAAACTTTGCCTTAGCAATTTTTATTTAATGTAGGGCCTTGCTTATCTGCACTCGATTTTCAAAGTTCATCGAGATATCAAGGGTGGCAATATCTTGTTAACTGAACAAGGAGAGGTCAAGTTGGGTGAGTTCCTACCAACTAATCATTTTTAATTTACTAGGAAATGAAAAAGAGGAAGCACATGTAGTAGGTTTTGCTTCTCATTTCCTGATTTTGACTCTGTTAATTGTTTCTTTGTTTGTATACTCATGAAAACTAATTATTCGCGTCTCTTTTCCAACCTTGCCTTTTTAGTTTGTGGTTTCCCACTGCAAAGTTAGAATGTTGCAAAACTAATTTAGAATTTGTTTTATTTTTTTTTTTTTATTGCATAAACAGGTGATTTTGGGGTTGCAGCCCAGCTTACAAGGACCATGTCAAAGCGCAACACGGTATATGATAGTTTAATTTTTCTTGTTCCGTTACATGTCTATGAAGCAGAAGTTGGTACTAGGATAATAAATTTTCTAGGTGATTTGGCTTCTATCAATTATAAGAGTTTTCCTGGGAAAGCTTCTATGATATAAAAAATTAATTATGTTTGGGGATTTCTGACAAAGTTATAAATTACAGTACATTCTTTATGAATTCTAGAAGTAAAAGGTTACCAAGATCGTATTTCAGGTCAGTAACCTTTTGAATCATTCAACTTTTTCTAAAAATGGGAAGATTGTACAATAAAACCTCTCTATAGTTATAATGATAAGATCAAACTAATTTTATTACTATAAGGAGGTTAAAACTTAATAGAGATGTAGTTATAAAAATTATTGTTTTGACTTAGTTATCCTTAGTGCAAGTGGTATAGAGGTAAAATATGTACTACACTAATAATTAATTAATGGAGCATGTCAAATACAAGGTATAGACATTGGTAAAAGAGATAGATATAGTTTCAAAAAACGAGTACATATATTTTTTGCAATATACAAATAATTATCACTATGTGGAGGTAAGTTCCTTAAGACGGGAACTAGAAAAATTATAGTTCATTACAATTTGGAGTTTATTCTTATTTATAATTGACCCAAGTTGAGACCAGAATTTTTTATGACTATATGTAGGTTATTCCTATATAGAGTATCATTATAGAGAGGTTTTACTGTATTATATATCATAGAAAACATAAACTAGAGATATTAAAAATGTACAATTTGTTGTGCTTAATACCCCTTAGATACCTCTCATTGTTGGTTGAACATTTAAGGTACAGAGCTGTTCTGGAAAATGATACGTCTGATGATTATTTATCTTGTTTTTAGTTCATTGGCACTCCACATTGGATGGCTCCAGAAGTTATTCAAGAAAGTCGCTATGATGGGAAGGTATCATCTCTATTGTTTTGAATTCTTTTAAGCCTCTCTTATTGTATTTTGGACCAATTTTCTATCTCTTCTGTTAGGAGTAGAATTACGAATTATATACATAATTTGCATGTGTTTGTTAATATACTTTCATGCACTAGTTATTTACTAATGTTATCTTGATGGTACATTAAAATGGGAATGCAGCTGCTTTNATTAAGCTGTGGGCTGTAGCTAACTAGGGAATGTGGGCTAGATTTTATTCAGGTGCCTAATTCCAAAGACATTAATTTAAAATATATGTTTTGTTATATTATTATAATAAGAGTAAACGACATATTCCCACCCAAGGTTTGATGAAATCCCAAATTAGTACCACTGGTTTCATTTATTCCAAATTTCCACAGTGTTATGAATTTTTAGGGTTTAGAGGGTGCAATTACCATAATGCCCTTAACCCTAAATTAATAAATTATGTTTTAACCCCTAAATTAGTAGAATTACAAAACTTACCATTTTATTTTCAAATTATATCAAAAACACCCCCGATCACTATACACCCTCGCCGGAAACAGCCCGATCTGGGCTGTTTTCGACGACGTCGAACCCCCTGGTCACCTCCATCAGCTTCCCCGTAGTCCGTCGTCCAAAACCCCTCTGGTTTCGACTCATTTGCCCCTCCAATCGCCGGCACCGTTAGGCTTAGGGTTTTGGTGTTCTTCACCGGATTCCGGTCGATGCCGGCGGTGAAAATCCAATTGGACACCACCAATGCAACCACCGTCCCCAAATCTATAAAACCCCTATATCCCCAGCAACCGTTTCGTCATCATTTGCCGGCCGAGAGTTCGTGTTCATCGACCGTTTTTCGTTGTCGTGGCCGGAGATCGACGAGTGATGAGGGGTTGTGAATGGTATGGTTTTGTAGAGGGGAGGATGGGGGTTCAAATGGTGGTGAAAAGGGTGACTTTGGGTGGAAGAATCGCTAGAAAAGAGCGAAAAACGTTGGGAACGATGGCTGCTAACGTGCGCCGGAGGACTGTTAAGGGCGGTGGTCTGCTAACGTGCGCCGCCTATATAAAATGACCAATTTACCCCTTTATCGTTACATCAAACGTTTTCTGTCACTTTAAGGGTGAGAATCTGGAATAAATAGAATCAGTGGTACTAACTTAGGATTTTGTCAAATCTTGGGTGGGAATATGTCGTTTACTCTTATAATAATTATGTCTATTATATATCCAACATGCACATCATTATATGCTTTTAGTCAATGGATGCGTATCATTTCCTAATCTTGACAAACCAAT